TTTAATGATAATAAATTACTTATAGATTGGATTTTAAATTATTTAGGTATTTTTGGCAGGAAAAAAGATTTAATAATCTTAATAGATAATAATAATAATAATAATAATGTCATCACAATGTCAGCACTGTATGTTTCCATACAATGGCGAAATTAGTCTCTGCATTTAACCCATCCACCACCAGGTGGTGCAGTGGGCAGCTATTGAAAGCGCCCGGGAGGCATTTTGGGGATGAGGTGTGCTGCCCAAAGACACCATAGATGGAATCTCAGTAAAAATAATAAACATAGTTTATTGTTTATGATTTATCTGAAATCGTAAACTTAGGTAAAAATCTGAAGCATGTTAAAAAGTGTTGCAGTTTTAATCAAATATAAAAAGTATTTTCTGCAAAAATGCAGTGCGAATGGAGTGCTATATTTATTGAAGTAGCTAAAACTGAGTTGTTAAAGTAAAAACAAGCTGAACAGTTGCCAATGTAAGTAAAACATGAGCTAAAATTAACAAAACAATAGTTTCAAATAGAAAAGGGTAGAAAGCAGTAAAAAAAAGCAAAGCTATAGCTAAAAGTAGCAAACAGATGCTAAAACTCCATCCAGCAAGATAGAAGATAAAAGCTTAAATGAACCAAATGGTGGCTAAAACCTAAAAGTAGCATAACAGTAACTAAAAGCCAAAACTGTAAACAGTAGCTAGAAGCTAAACGTAGCATAGGAAGACAAAAAGTAACATATATGCTGAAGCAGAAGTCAAAGAGAAAACTGTTTTTTTAATTAATTCAAGCGATTTCAATATATTTCTGTAGACCGTTTTATTTCAATTAAAGTTAAATATTTTGATATGTATAAAAGTCATAAAAAACAAAACCCACTGCACAGTTTTCCTGATCAAGCTAAACATGTTCATTTATGAGTGGCTAAAATAACACAAAGGATACAAGAGTAATTTGAGTCCAACAACAGTATAGAAGTAACAAGAAAACAAGTGTGATTGCGGAATCAATGAATATAATAATAATAATAATGTCATCACAATGTCAGCACTGTATGTTTCCATACAATGGCGAAATTAGTCTCTGCATTTAACCCATCCACCACCAGGTGGTGCAGTGGGCAGCTATTGAAAGCGCCCGGGGGACATTTTGGGGTTGAGACGTGCTGCCCAGAGACGCCACGTGATGTGCAGTGACTGGGGATCCTGGGACTTTCGGATCCCAAGCCGGCTGCCCTGCCTCTACACCATCTCGGCCCCCCAATATACAACAAAAACACTGAAAATAATTATATGATTGGATTTTTATATTTTCAGATGGTTACGTCTGCTGCTTGTTAGAACAAAGATTTATTTAAGAGGAGGCAGCATTTCTCTAATCTAAAGCTTCTTGCAGCAGCCGTCTGTTATCAAATCAAACTCAGAAAGTTATAAGTGGTGTCAAAGGCCCACATGCTCTTTCACATGCTTACATCATGGGATGACTCGTTCCCCGCAGCACCATCGTGCCGCTCAGATCTCCAAACTCTATTAACCTTTTCAACAGAGGCAGCGAGAGATCAGCAGACTTTGACGTATTTTCTGGTGAATTTATTATCTGCTGCAGGTTGGGAGTTAAATTAGTTCATTCTTAACAGTCATTGTACTTTTTGCTTGTTATAGAGAAGACAGGCCAGACTTTTTTAAACATTTTGAGGTTGTTTAAATGTTAAACTTACCATGAAAACTCTAATGAACATAAACAAAATGAAAGAGAAAGCAAAACTGCAAAGTATATTACCACCAAAAGGCAACAGTGGAGCAATAATGTTTTGGACTGTTTCTAAAATATTTCATCAACCATTGGATGAATTTTATTATAACTAATGGAAATAAATCATTAGAGGTACCTCTACAACTGAATCAATCCAATTCAAGATGGTTGCCACAGCTATTTGAAATGAGCCAACACAAAAATGGCTATAACTCGGTCGGTTTGACTGATTTTGAGCTAAAAGTTGACATGGTAGTAGCGGAGAGTCATCCACAGTGCATACTCTGAACAGGAGACTGCTCATCATCACTGCTTTTCAAGATTTGGCCAAAAATGACTGTAACTCTGTCAGTTTCTTGGCAAAGAAGGATCTTGGACTAAAACTTTGGCATAAAAGGCTGCAGATGATGCATTTATTCAATGAAGGGTAGGTCTTTAAATAAAACAAGACAGCAATATTGCATTTTATAATCACACAAACTAAAGCAAAGCTCGAGAAGGCAGACATGAAATCAGTAGAGTCAGCCTGCCCCAAAATAATACTGTAGTTGTTTATCTGAATCTGGCTTCCCCGCTTGTCCTTGAATAGGCCAACTTTTCTCAGATTGCTCCTGGAGGATATGTAAATAATGAAGCTCTGCTCCTGCTCCCCCCTGAGAACATCTGTGGACCCTTATCAGAGCTGAGCCAGCTGTTAGACACTGTGCCATCTTTATCAGGACTATGGAACTTTCTCGCAGTGTTCACGGACAATCTCACCACTTTGGTGCCCCCCCGCAAAATGTCTCATGTCTATCTACGTATATTGCGTATACTGAGGTGGCTCTCTTCCTGCATCTGGAGGTGTAGATGTCTGTGACGGTGGGGAGGCTGACTCCAACATCTTCTGTGCAGCCTTCACCACTCTCTGCAAAGCTTTTCTTTCTGCAGCTGTGCAGCCTTCATGCCACACGTTGATGCTGGAGCACAGGACACTCTCCACTGCACACCTGTAGAAGGAGGAGAGGACAGAGACTCCATCAATTAGTGCCAAGGTTTAAAGCAAAGGTGATGATCAAAGAGTTGTGCTCAAAGTAGGTGTTGGGAAAGGAGTTGAGCTACAACCGAACCAATTTTTAGCTCAATATCTGTAAAATTGGCTGAATTTTAGACATTTTAAGATCAGTTAGCTGTGGCAGCCATCTTGAATCCAGGTAATAAAAGTTAATCAGTTGTCGATGTACATTCCGGTGGTGTCTATTTGAATGTTTTATTAAAATCTGTTCAGTGATTCATGATGTGATATATTCAGCAGGGTGATAAAAAAGGCTTTGGAGACAACAAATACTTTTGTCCTAAATAACGGAAAAAAATGTAACTGGTCCAAATTTGACCCAGTTTTGTGACAATTTAGACATAATTTAGGTTGCAAAGAACCAAATGACTCTTGTTACTCGATACACATTTGTTTTGTTGCCGCCCTCGAACAGGGGATCAAACCTCTTAGGGTGTGATGTCTCTAAAAGTGAAGCTTCTCTTGACTCTATTCTGTCCTTGTCCAATGTGTCTCCTCTTGCAGCTCTTGTCTGTTTCATCTGAAAGCTTGTTAAACATGTTTAACAACCTCATCCTTGTCAGCACACCATAACCAGACATGCAAATATATGCAGGCGCACACAGACTTGCACGACATTGGACCACCTCTTCCTGACAGATCGAGAGCGCGGGAACAAGTGTTTGCTCTTCGCACACACTCGTACAAGAATCGGGCTGAAAATCAAGAATTGACGTTTGTTGTGAAAATGAAAGAAAGGTGCAACATGAAATATTATTCAGCGCAGGAGTTCCTTTTACACACACATTGTTCTGCATTTCCATCGTTACTGCCTCGGAGTGGCGTCTTTATATTGTCAATTACTCAGGTTTTAAGAGCTTATTAGCGCTTGTGAGATGAAGTTTTTAGAAAGTTACCTGCAGGAATAAAGATAATACAGTTCATCCAATGCTCAACATACTCACAATGTTGCCTTTTTCTTCTTCAATATTTGTTGATCCTTTACTTTTTTCTTACTTTCCCAACATGATTTTTTAACCATATTGATTAAAAAAACTGTCAAATTTCTAATAATTAGCAAAGAATTAGCATTTCTTTAAGGAATGCTAATTGTGATAGAAGATACGAAGTTGGAACTATTTTGATCAAACTTTGTAAATGATGTTATGTGTGGTCCATCCATCCGTCCGTCCATCCATCCATCCATTATCTTTACCCACTTTTTCCTTTTTGGGTCACAAGTGTCACTGGTGCCCATTTCCATCCATCACTGTGTGAGAGGTGGAGGACACCCTGGACAGGTTGCACGTGACAGAGACACATAGAGACAAACAACCATTCACTCTTACTCACAGCTAGGGACAATTTAGTTACTGATCAGCCTATGCATGTTTTTGGTCTGTGGGAGGAAACTGGAGTACCTGGAGAAAACCATGCATGTACAGAGAGAACATGGAAACTCCACCCAGAAAAGTTCTGGGCCGGGATTTGAACCGGTGACCTTCTCGCTAAAAGGCAACAATTCAACCAACTGTGCCACCATGCTGCATATATATATATATATATATATATATATATATATATATATATATATATATATATATATATATATAATCAAAATCTTGCAAAATGTGTTAGTGCTCAGAGTATATTTGGGGAAAACTATCAGCTACTACCATAGCAAACTTTAGCTCAATATCTGTAAAACTGACAACGTTATAGTTGTTATAATTAGCTGCAGTGGCCATTTTAAACGGAAGTGACTCCAAAGGGTAATCAGTTTTGAGAGTTTTATTGAAATATGTCCGCTACTTCACGATATATTTGCTAACAGACAAGACGTGCAAAATCTCCTGCCTTTTGCTTTCAGCAGTGAGTGGTAACATCAGGCCGAGTTGCTAAAACAGACGTATAGATATATAATTTAATCTGAATAGATTTCCACAACAGCAGTTAAGAGCGAAGATGAGAAGCAGAGCAGACAGTTTCATCTTTTGTCAACACAGGGATTCACGTTTAAAGATACTTCCTATGTATGGATTTTTTCATAACCATGTTTTGACACAAAACCTGCACTTTGTTTGTCAAAGTGCACATTTATGGTATTAAACGGTATTAAATGTAAATCCCTGACTGCAAACATCAACCCTGTTTAAGAGGTCTGCGGCTGAGTCATTTCCACCCAAGACAACTTGAATAATAAGCGAGACTCTATTTTTACAGGCGGAGGGATCCTCCTTTTTGCAGATGGGAGCTTCTCTGGAGCAGCAGGTCATCTGCATGTTCAAGGTATGAACTCACATTGTGTCAAATCTCATCTATGCACTGGGAAAACTAAATGTAAGCTTTCATGGTGAATAATTTGAGGAATCAAGCTTGACAACTGGGATCTCTCAGGCTGATTAACACCATGAAGGGACATCCCAAGAGTGAGTGGGGGGAATCCCTGATTTGAAGTTCAGACCCGGTTCGCTCACACTAATACAATCTGATGGACTATACACGTTTTCATGGGATTAGAGAACGTCATCGTCACATGGTTTTGGAAGTCAGTTGGATAATCTCAGAAAAGTATGTTGTGCTCTAATTTTAACTGGATATGTGGAGCACTTTTACAACTGAGAGCTTTTTATTTATATCTACAGAGAAATGAGTGAATGTTGATACAGCCTAGTCGTAAAACTCACGTGATATTTACATCAGTGGATTTATACAAGATAACCTTTTCAGTCTGGTGGGGAAAAAAAAAGAGGTTTACCAGAAAACTTAATTTTTCTTCATTTTTGCAAGAAACATAACTGTGACTGAGCCAAGTGGGCGAAAAAAGGCACAAGTAGAGGGTCACTTTTCAAAATGAAACACTCTGCAAACCGAAGTAAATACAAATGTTGCATAGATTTACTTTTTGAATAAAGTTTTGCTTATGTCGGTACGGACTGATATCAAATGATTCATGGACATCGGTTCAGTCGTTGGGGAGCCCACTGGTTTAAATACTTTAGCAAATAGTCTTTACCGTCATTAAACACAGTAAAAGATTGATCCAACTTTCCCAATGAAATGAAAATATTGGGTAAATTTGCTTAATATTAGAAACGAGAAGACAACATGGTTAGTTCACTGGAAATATTTAAACATTTACCATTTTACATTTTATATTAATGTTCAAAGTAAAAATAAAAATCTTTATCGAAATAAAAATGTGCCATTTTGACAACCTATGAGTTAAATAAATGCTATCTCTGTAACACTTTACAATAAGGTACACAAAATTTGCTTAACTACTAGGGAACGCCTCAAGAACGAATCAGGAGCTAATGGGTGTTAACCAGTACTTAATGGGGAACACACAGCCAAGCCTTGTAGGGGGAATACTGGTTTAAATACTTCAATAAATAGTATTTAACATCATTAAACTCCCAGGCAGCCAGCCACAGCCAAAGTGTTTCAAGACATCTTGGACCTCAGACTGATGAAGCCCTCTGGATAGAGGGTGAAACGTCTTTCCACTAAAAGAAACTGTCCAGATGACCTGAATCACCATTATTGGATTTTGTACCTGGATGAGTGAGCATGAACTTTGATTATTGTAAAGTGTTACTGCTATCTCCTTAGTGTTGCATTTAGACAAAGTTTAATTACTGCTGGCTTTAGTTATCAGAATTGGCAACAAAAAAAAAATCCTTGGAATGGCCAACCATAGCTAACATCCATGCTAACAAAGCAACAATTCATCCCTCCATTTTGATAGTTGCTCTGTGGCATCCTTACATAGTGCCTGCATGGCTCCAGACCATAAACGTCTGAAAAGAAAAAAATAAAGTTAGTCAAGAAGAACAACGTTAACTAAACAGCAAATTAGTGAACAGAATAGATTAAAGCTCAGTTGAAGTGCAAGTTATATAGAAACAAAACATTTCTAGAATCTCAAGCTTAAGTTTTAAATCCAAGTGTACAGTAGTCCCTTGTTTAATGTGGGTGTTAAGTTCTGAACCCCCCACAGAAAGTGAAATTCCACGAAGTAGCGACGTTATATTTATTGTAGTATTTATATATATTTTAAGGCTTTAGAAACTCTTCCAACACCCTTGCAATGTTCTAAACTCTTAAATCAACGCCATTTTAACAACATACATACAGTACAGTATATGTAGCTACTAAATTTTATTTACTAGATCTGCAGAACTGGAGTGGCTCTCGTTCCGGGTCGACTCCATTCTAGTCCGACTCTGTTCGGTTTCTTCAGACCTAACCTGCAGCAACGAAGTCCATAATCAATGTTCTAAACTCTTACACCTACTAATTTTAACAACATACTTATATTTGGCTACTAAATTTTACTTACCAATGCATCCCCACTCTGAGGTCCTCATCGGCCGGTTGAAAGAGATGAAAAAAGGTGCCGGTGGACTTCAGATGGATCACCGGACCTTCAGCAGCGCACGTCCGCTGATGGCTCTTCGTTGGCTGGTTGAAATACATGAAAAACTTGCTGGTGGACAGATGGACCACTGGACCTTCGGCCACACGTGTCTTCTGAGGGCTCTTTGTTAGCCGGTAGAAAGACATGAAAAACATGCCGGTGGACTCCAGATGGACCACCAGACCTTCGGCGGATGTCTCCACTCGGAGATCCACATGGGCAGGCTACCAGCTCTCAAGATTCAGCGATGGGTTTGGAGGTCTGGTTCTGCTCTGGTTCTGGTCCGGTTTGGTGGATTCCGTGCAGCTTCTCTGCATCCGCTCAGATCAGATCAAAACTTTACTTTTAGCACTTTTTTCCGCAAAAGTCAAACTGTGAAATAGCGAGAGACTACTGTACTGAAATACAAACATTGGAAGCAGACATGTGGTTAAAATGAGAAGTAACATAGCGTAATGCCGCCATACACACTGCACTGCCGTATAAGTCGCATCAGTCCAAATATGTCTAATAAAGTGGAAAAAAACATAAATATGTAGTTTTTCCGTATAAGTCGCATCTATTATGCGTCACCACTGACTACCCGGAAATGTGGGCCGGTGTCGTGCCAAAAATCAACTGGCTAAGATTAACACTTAAAAACAATTATTTGTTTGCTCGAAATTATAGCAAAGGTGTGTCTCAGTTTAACTTTTCCTTAATAAATAACTTTAACGGTCAAATCAGCCGCATTTCAAAAGCCGATACGGTGTTGCGAGAGCGCAGAGGGAGGACTTGCTGTGCATTTCTTCAAAATTTAACAAGATAACCACCCCAAAACAGTTATTTGTTTGCTCAACATTATAGCAAAAGTGTGTCTCAGTTGAACTTTTCTTTAATAAATGCACTTTAATCGTCAAATCAGCTGCATTTCGCCTGGACGATGTGGCGAAATGCAGCTGAGTTGACCTTTGCTCCAGGAGTTCCAGAGCGAGAAGAAGGTGGCTTTGTATGGCAAGCCAAATGTCTCATTAATAGCCACTTTTATCTATTAATGAGACACTTGGCTTGCCAAATTACTCAAGTGCCCTCTAGCGGCTGAAAAGGGCAGTGTTAAATATTTTCCGTGTCAGAATGAATGAAATCGTCAGATCTCAGCCAAAAATTGGGTTATAAATATGGTGGGGGGGAACATACATAAGTCGTTTCGCTGTATAAGCCGCAGGGCATGCTAATTAACACAAAAGGTCAGAGATTCTTTATTGTCATTTGCACCCCATGTGGTACATGTGGTGGAGCAAAATCATGTACACAGGGTCCCAAAGGTGCGACTTATACTGCAAAAAGTACGGTACCTAAAGAGTAGTTGTATTCTGGCCTAGCTATAGTGATTACAGCATGCAGAAGTTTTATCATGATAGTGCGCAGCGTCATCATTTTGTTGTGGCTATGCTTGACCGGGCCTGGTGGGAGGCTCACTACAGCATGCTCTTGTTTCCTGTTTTCACATTACGTGTTATGCGAGTAAAAAGAGACAATTTCTATGCATTTTTGTATTGATGACACAGCATACAGCAAACATTAGGCATTGACAGTGTGCAGCTTCAACATGCAAACAATACACAATGACAGGCGTAACATCTAGAAGGAGGCAGCCACAAATTTCACGTGACACCATCAGTGGCCTTTTCCATGTATTTCTACTTCATTGGTTATAGGCAATCCTCTAATCTTACCTTAAAAATAAACAAATTACTGCTGTAAATCCTTCCCACTATTTTATGAACTTATATTCTAAATGTTACTACCGTAGTTCACCCCTTTAACTCAACTGGTTTGTTTCAGATGTTGGAGGAGTATGACTGGGGCGAGTTTGCGGTGGTCACCAGCTTGATGCCAGGCTATGACACTTTTGTGGATATTGTACAGTCTTACACAGACACTTCCTACTTCCTGTGGAACCTGCAAGATATTATGACCCTGGAAATGTCTGTTGGGGCCAATGACTTGAAGACCAAACGCATGCTGCAGCAGGTACGACCACTGACTGGTTTGCTAAAAGTTAACATGAAAAGCCTTTTATATGGTAAAAGGCCCTATAGCATCAAATAGCAGTGCTGCTGAGTCACTCCATCTTTTTACAAATCTTACATATTTCTTTTGTTAAATTTTTTTTTGCTTTGTGAGTGTATGCCAGTCCCAGTAGCTAAATGGCTTAAAAAAGCTTTGAAGTTCATCAATCTGTCCATCTAGTTTCTGTGCTTTTACACCCGTCCAGCATCGACAGGGCAAAAATGGAGGCTGACCTTTAAAAAGTAGATAGTGCTTATCGTTAAAAGCAAATCCATCGCCAAGGCAAAGCTCATAAACAAGAAGTGAAGGTCTTAAAAACAAAACTTGTTGAACACAGTTTGAAAAACATTTTGTGCAATTTAACTTTTAAGGGTCAGAGCAAAAACCAAAAAAACATGTTTTATTGCTCAAAATTGTTGAACATCGCGGCCTGTTATTTAATAGTAAAGCTACAGAGTTTCTGTAAAAGCCAACCAGATGATTGCTTTTCTTTCTGCAGTTGGACTCCCAGGTATTGCTGGCGTACTGCTCACACGAGGAGGCGCAGTACTTGTTCCGTCTCGCAGCTGAGGTGGGCCTGCTGGGGCCCGGCTACATCTGGATCCTCCCCAGTCTGGCTGTGGGCAACCCCAACAGCCTTCCACCTGCCACCTTTCCCGTGGGTGTGATCGGTGTGATAACAGACCAGTGGAGGAAAAGTTTGCGTCAGAGAGTGAGGGAGGGGGTCGCCATCATAGCCAAAGGGGCAGAGAGCTTTAAGAAGGCTTACGGTTTCATTCCTGAGGGGCACGGTGACTGCAACAAACCAGCCAAACAGTCAGAAAACAACACTCTGTTCAGGTGAGGAAAACATCTTAACTTTTCATCAGCATACATATTTTATTATCCTTCTTTTGGTTTTGCTTTTCATCCTTTAACTATTGCACTTCTGCATGTTGCTCACCTAAATTTATTAGCTTAATTCTGCTTCCATTTGAACAATAAATGTCCAAAATCAATATAACTTTTTCCAACAGGTCATCACTGTGTCATTATGGCTGGATTTCCTCAGTCTGATCAAGGGTTCCTTTAAAACTTCTTCCACCTTCTTGTCCAATGATGACTGACAGCCAAATGCTGAACTTTAAAACCTGCAGTTTGCAAACCAGCAATATTTACATTGGTGTGCATTTGTGCAGTTATGCAAATTTTAAACCAACCCTCAGCCAGACTTTCTTGTAACATTTGATTCAGACTTGCAACTTTCATGGGTAAAAACATCCGTCTTTGCCTTTTGGCAGCAGAAGTTGAGGGTTCCCAACCCTAGTCCCTGAGGAACCCCATCCTGCATATTGTTGTTCCTCTGCTCCAACACACCTGATTTGAATGAAGGGGTGATTAACAGGCTTCTGCCAAACTTAAGTAAGTAATTGAACCATTGAATCAGGTGTGTTGGAACAGAGAAACAACTAAAACAGGCAGGATGGTGTTCCTCAAGGACCAGTGTTGGGAACCACTGAGTTATCAGACAGAAAATAAGTCAAAAATAAGGTAAAATTTTAAACATAAAGAAAGTCTGAGCAAATTCAGTTTATATTAATCTTTTCTATGAAGTCTTAAGGGTTTTATCCTAGCCAGTTAGTTTTTGTAAATTTCAATACGTCCTAAATTAAAAAAAAAAAACTAACAGCAAATACAAATTGGTTTACTTTAAATCCATCCATCCATCCATTATCTTTACCCGTTTATTCCATTTTTGGGTCATGGGGGTCGCTGGTGCCCATGTCCAGCAATCACTGTGCGAGGGGCGGGGTACACCCTGGACGGGTCGCAAGTCCATCACAGGGCCACATAGAGACAAACGAGACAAACAACCATTCACTCTCTCACTCACACCTAGGGACAATTTAGAGTTACCAATCAGCCTAACATGCATGTTTTTGGTCTGTGGGAAGAAACCGGAGTACCCGGAGAAAACCCACGCATGCACGGAGAGAACATGCAAACTCCACCCAGAAAGGCCCCTGGACCAGGGTTTGAACCAAGGACCTGCTCGCTGAGAGGCAGCAGCTCTACCAGTTGCACCACCGTGCTGCTTACTTTAAATCCATCCATCCATCCATTTTCTTTACCCGTTTATTCCATTTTGGGTCACGGGGGTCGCTGGTGCCCATGTCCAGCAATCACTGTGCGAGGGGCGGGGTACACCCTGGATGGGTCGCAAGTCCATCACAGGGCCACATAGAGACAAACGAAACAAACAACCATTCACACTCTCACTCACACCTAGGGACAATTTAGAGTTACTAATCAGCCTAACATGCATGTTTTTGGTCTGTGGGAGGAAACCGGAGTACCCGGAGAAAACCCACGCATGCACAGAGAGAACATGCAAACTCCACCCAGAGAGGCACCCGGACCGGGATTTGAACCAGGGACCTGCTCGCTGAGAGGCAGCAGCCCTACCAGTTGCGCCACCGTGCTGCTTACTTTAAATCCATTAAAATAAATACTTTATTTTTCTTATTACGCTGTATAAACATGGATCTGATGTCTAATATGTACCTTTAGAAAAGCGAAGCATTCTTGTTCTATGGTTTTTTAAAAAATATATAAATGTGTGTTCTCAAGGGTTGACATAGAAAAAATAATAAGTCTTGCTGCCACTGAGGACAGAGCACAGTTTCAGCTTTTGCTATTTGAACAAGACTTGAGGTAAACATATTGTGAGCCACATTTGCATTCGTTAAAAAATGCAAATCACTCTGGATGAATTAATTCACAGCCCAGTCTACCTTGATTTTTCTTTTACCTTGAGCATTTAGCAGTAACATCCTGCTGTCCGACCAATCACCTGCTGCTCATCATCCCCTGATGAGTTACTTCCCGTCTCCGACATTAAATTAAACTCTCTCTGGGAAGCTTTAGGCTTAATTAGGACGTGATCCTCGTGTGTGATTATAAATTAATATGGAATATCTTATGTGGAAATGTAAATTATTTTTGTTGCGATTCTTGATTGCGTATGTTTTTGTTTTTGTTTGGGACATAGGCACATGATGAATGTGACATGGGAAAGGAAGGATCTGTCGTTCAACAACCAAGGCTTCCTATCCAACCCCTCCATGGTCATTATTGCTTTGGATCGGGAGAGGCAGTGGGACAAGGTACTGAGCAACACAAGACAAATCACAACATAGAGCAAAAGTAGAGCAGAATTCTGTAATCCAGGATAAAGCAAAGAAAGCTAGGTTTGTCAGAACATCCTTGCTCAGTTTCATAAATGTTAAGCAGGTTGATGATCAAATACATTTCTTTAACAGCTGCAGTGAAGACCAACATCAATCTGAGAGGCAACCTTTATATCATTACATTAGTTTTTTTTTATTGTGAATTATAAAAATATCATCACTGTACCACAGTCCATGCTCAATAATCCAGGTATAAAATCCAACAAGGTTCAGTCAAGTCATCTGAACGGTTTATTTTTTTTCTGAGAGGTTTTGCCCTTCATCCAAAGGACTTCTTCAATCTGAGGAGCCACCAAACAAAACTGATTCCCACAAATAGCATACTCAATAGTGGAAAAACACAGTTTGCTGGTGCTAAGATGGCCTCCAGGTCCCGCCCTCTCCCCTGTCAACTCCTCTGAGACAGTCATGCCAAAGTGGTTAAAAACACCAAAGTTCATGCTCAATAATCCAGGTTCAAATCCAACAATGTTCAGTCAGGTCATCTGGATGTTTTTTTTTTCCCCACTATGGAATATGCTGTTTGTGGGAATCAGTTTTATTTGGTGGCTCCTCAGGTTGAAGAAGTCCTTTGGATGAAGGAAGAAACGTCTCAGCAAAAATAGAAACCATCCAGATGACCTGACTGAACATTGTTGGATATCATCACTAATTAAATTAAAAATATTAAAATCCAATTTGTCGGCCTTGTATTACATTTTAATGCTATAAAATCAATAAAAAGCAAATATGAGACTGGTGGAATATTAAGTGTACAAATCTCATGAAATATTATCCAATCTGCACTTGATGTGTTGAAAATGACTCTTAGCTACTATCACACCAGTTTATAGCTCAATAAATGTGAGAGTTGTAGACATTTTTGAGTTTTTTTTAATCAGCTAGCTGAAGCAGAAGTCATAAAATTGATGGATTTCATAGAAGTACATACTTTCTGAGAGTTTCAGTAAAATCCATCCAGTTAATTATGAGATATTTTACTAACAGACAGAGTTGATAAAAAAAAGACAATATTTTAACAAAAATTCTCTCACAAAGTTATCCCTCAGAGTTTGTTAGAGATGACTCTCAGCTTGCACAAAATTTTAGCTCAATATCTATGAAACCAAATTAATTTTTGCCATTTTTATTTTTGCTAAACTTGTTAGGAATGGCGGCCATCTTGAATAGGGTTGAGACCAAAAGTGAAGTACACGCAGAAGTTCATCCATTGATTAAGAGTTTCATTAAAATTTGTCCACTGGTTCACGAGGTATTTTGCTAACAGACAGACACACAGTGTCCAAAATAATTCGTCTTAGCTTTTGGCAGCTAATAAGAAACGTAATTAGCTTGTTTTATAATAGAATAGCCTAATTGCACAATAAGAAAAACGTAATTTATCTTTCACCAATCGAGAATAAATTAAGTGAATATAACAGTAAAATATTAATATATTTTTCAAGCTTTTGTGGAATAGACCGTTGATATTAACAGTGTGACCAAAACAAACAAAAACAAACAATAATAATTTACATTAGTTATAAGGAAACAGGTTTAAGAGAAATATTCAAAGAAACTATTTTAGTTCGGTGTTGAGCTTCATTTATCTTCCATAAAATTCATAAAATATCTAGATATGACGGTGCCAATATCCTGACACTTCTGTTTTTTTTTTAAAGTTTTCTTGAGCATGTCGTTACCGTCTTGTTTCAGTTCAGATGTCTGAGGTGGTGCTGTGCGTCGCAGCTTCAGCAAACTGTTTGACCTGTTGTTTAAATGCAGTTGAAACTTGCTTCTTTGTAAATAGACACGTTTTACTGTGATAGCTCATGTAAAAAGATACACGGAACACATTGTAAAATGAGCTGATAAATCAGGAGGGAAAAGAACATTTACACAGATTTACTGCAAATTAATAATCTGAAAAATAAAAGTTCAATGACAGACAGGTGTAAACAGGTATTATACACATTTACTGGGGAGGCATGTCTTGCTCTTGTTTCGTCCTAACCTTGCCTTGAAGTCTGTGTGTCTCATTCTCTTTTGCACACACAGAAACACGCACACACACACACACACACACACGTGCACCCAGAGCCTGAGGGTGTATCGAAAAACCGCGACTAACCAGAAAGGTCTGAGCGTAATCTCACTGCTACAGTTGAACTCATTTATTTCTGTCCTGGAAAGACCAATCCACTTTATCACTGTCACTTCCTGCCAGGATTGTATGTTTTCACGTGTTTACAGAAACAGACATGTAATTGAGCTGAAGTAGGGGGGTCATACGTGTGCAAAACTCCTGCTCTCCTGCCATGTTATGTCTTTCTGATGACATGCAGTTTTTGTGATATTTATTTCTATCTTATGGCCATCTCGTTAGATTCTAATTGCTCTACTTGTGTCATGTATCTTGTTACATGGTGCAGTGCTCTTTTCAGGTTTTTCCCTCTGACAATCTGACAGTTCACTGTAATAGTAAATCTTATTCTCATCTGTAGGGTGCTGCTGGATAACATTATGATGTCTTCTTTCTTATTTTGTTTCTTTCTTATCTGAGCTTTTCTCAGTCACACTTTTGCACCTTTAGAGCTGAAATAAGTATTTTACCATAGATTATATGATGTGAAAGGTGATTCTGAACGAGCTTTGTGATTAAGAGAGTTGATGAGAGATAAAGAGCAAATGTTGCTAATTTACTTCATCGCAGACTTTATTTTCATTTCTGGGGCTGATCATACTTTGTAGCATCTACGTAACAATTGGGACCTGGGTCTAACTGCACACCTTGCAGCCTTCGATTAGTTATAAATGGAATTTTATTTACGTGTTTCTGAAATATAAAAACAATGCGAGAGTTTGGTTCACGCTAAGTCGGACCCCTTTAGGGTGAGAGTTGGACTCCGCCAGGGCTGCCCTTAGTCATCGATTCTGTTCATAACTTTTATCAACAGAATTTCTTGATGCAGCCAGGGGGCGGAGGGAGTCCGGTTCAGTGGTCTCAGGATTCCTTCTCTGCTATTTCCGGATGATGTGGTCCTGTTGGCGTCATCGCGCCGTGATCTTCAGCTCTCACTGGAGCGGTTCACAGCCGAGTGTGAAATGTTAAGAGCTGTTTTTCTGCTCACCCAGGTTCGTTGGCCGGAGGGAACCTAGGAACGACTTCACACTTGTTATAACACTTTATTTAAACAGGAAATATATGTTAACGGGATACAAACAGATATGGAGAATTGATCAAAATGGCAGCGAACCCCAAAATGCAAATCAATACTGCACATAATGTGCAGATGCTGTGGTTTTGAACTGTCGGTCAGCTCCACCTCCTAGGGCACTCCTCTGACCTTTTGCACCGTCCACACAAGTTATTTTCCCAGGAGCTAAAAAGAAGCCCTTTGTAAATCTATGAGACGTTTTTATGGTGTTATCACACAGGACGAGGTGTTATCAGAGAGCTGCACATCTGCCACTTCCTCCTGCTGCATTCCTTCAGCGTTAACAGCACGGCCTCGGCATTTAAACAGGCCCTCATTTTTATGCTGCAACCATTTGTCAGTACCCCTCTATGTAAAATACATATTAACTGATAAGAATTACTCATAACACTTTATTAATACAGTTTAAACCTCCAACTAAAGTGTCTGGGATGAGAATCAGCATCTCCAAATCTGAGGTCATGGTCTTCAGTCGGAAAAAGGTGGATTGCTTTTTTCGAGTCGATTGTGAGGTTCTGCCTCAAGTGGAGGAGTTCAAGTATCTCGGGGTTTTGTTCACGAGTGAGGGCAGAATGGAGCGTGAGATTGACAGACGGATTGGTGCAGTGTTTGCAGTACTGCGGACTCTGTGATGAAGAGGGAGATGCACTGTAAGGAAAATCTCTCTGTTAGCCTTCCAGTCTATGTTCTTACCCCCACCTACGGCTGCAAACTCGGGGTAGGGACCGAAAGAATGAGATTGCGGATACAGGCGGTTGAAATGAGTTTCCTCTGCAGAGTAGCTGGACTCTCCTTTAGAGATAGGGTGAGAAGTTCAGTTATCCAGGAGAGACTAGGAGTAGAACCGCTGCTCCTCCACAACCAGAGGATCCAGTTGAGGTAGTATGGGCGCCTGATAAGGATGCTCCCTGGGCGCCTCCCTAGGGAGGTGTTTTGGGCATGTGCAACTGGGAGGAGACCCTGGGGAAGAACCAGGACGTGCTGGAGAGACTAATTTCTCACTTGGCCTGGGAACGCCTTGGGGTCCTCCAGAAGAGCTGGAAGAGGTGGTTGTAGCAAGAGATGTCTGGGCCTCCCTGCTCAAGCTGCTGCCCCCGTGACCTGCCTTCAGAACAAGTGGAAGATAATGGATGGATGTTTTTTAAATAAATAACTTTGTACTGGTACAAAGAGCCTTAGCCCATGAGTACAATAATAATTAGTTACAGTACAGCTTAGGTACTGCTAAACTTTGGCAGCTACTCAACCTGAACAAACACAAGAGAGGCTGTAATGTAGTCAGTTTTACAGATATTGAGCTAAGATTTGGTGAGTTACTGGCTGAGAGTTGCCTATACACTTTGAGCGTTACTCATTCTGCAATAATTTAGCTCAAAATTTTGTCATGAAGTTTTGGAGTCAGTCTTGTCTGTTTGTTTTCAAAATGTTGATGAGTTTCAGTGAAACTCTTATATGATGCATGTCTACAAGTTTAAACCTTCAGGAGCCAGTCTGGTTCTACATGACCATTACAGCTAATCAAATGTAAATACAAAAATGGCTACAACTCAGTCAAATTTATGAAACGGGGTTAAAATCTGGTGTGGTAGTAGCTGAAAGTCATTCCCATCACATACTCTGACAGTTAACAGAATCTTCCAAAAATGTGTATTTGTGCATGACTTATTTTCATAATTTGACCAAAACTAACATAATTTTGCTATTTCTCAACATAAAATGATCTCAGATTAAATCTCAGACATGCAAAATGCATTTTTTAATTTCTTTGTTTGCCTTTTTGTTTCGTTAACCTTGATGTAATTTATTGAGCTGTTTAATTTAGCATTATTTTAACTTTTTAGTTTTCTAAAAACGCTTTCTGACACATGCAAATTAGTTGTCTTTAAAAATAAAAAAAGATACACAAGAACTAGACAAGATAATAAAGAACTTTTATGTTTTGTGTTCCTGATAATTGCACCTCAATGGATGATTGCAAGAAATTAAATCAGTTGTCAAAAGCCAATAAAAACCATTTTGGGGGCTGTTTAGTTTAGTTAAATTGGCTAGTTAGCTTGGGAATTTTTACAAAATGGTTTACAAGCTTCTAACACTATTTTTTTTTTATTTTCTATTGGGCAAAAATAGTTGATAAACTTTAAGAAAAGTCTCAATTGTTATTTGTAAAATTTATTCAGTGACTCCAAATTAATATTAACAACAAAAATCAAACTTTTCTTGCACTTAAAACTTTTTAATTGCCTGGCAGCCTTAGTCATTACATGTCACTATTTAAAAGTAAATATTTTTATTTAAAAAATAAAATCAGGTGGCAAATATCAAAAGAATAATAGTTTACCTCAAAGATATTCAGTTCAACTTGATTGGAAGTAGTTGCCAAAGTCTTAGCAATGTTTATAGCCTGAAACTTACCCGTATTAATCAAAAACTGTTTGTGAGTGTAGCAGCTCAGACATGACTGAATTGATATGAGAAGTAATGATGCTGAAAAATAGATTGGATTTAATGTTGGTCAGTAATTTCAAACACCGGGTTCATCCGTCATTCTAAACAGCAGTATTGTTGGAACATCTTCAAGATCCTTGCTGCAAGTTTTAGTATTCGACATGCTTTGCTACCTTCCCTACACTGCAACTCAAGTCAGAATGACAAGTAGGCACCTGAGTTTCATCTGAAGAGGAAGTATGATGTATAGAACTATCCCATAAAATACCTTCAATTAAAATTCAGCAAGGTCTGTCTGAAGGCGTTTTTCTCCAGCAACGGTCTAGAATACATGTATTTAAATTTCCTTTTAGTGAAAGCCATGCTAGTTTTCTTTTCTCACCGTTTTGCCTTTTTAGGCTTTCACTTCTCAAACAGCTGGCAGATCCTCTCTGCAGGAAAAAGACAAAGGGAAACCAGATGTGGGAATTACTGTAAATGCTAAGAAAGCTGTGCCACCTACAATGAGTTACTGTAAATAATTTAAAGCTGTGCCACCGTTAAAGAATTACTGTAATTTGTATAAAATCCCTGCTACCTACAATGAATTGCCGTAATTTGTATAAAAGTTGTGCCACCTAAAATAAATTATAGAATTATGGAAAAATTTGTGCAAGATGGATGTGTAGCTGGATGGATAGGTGGGTCCAGATGAGATCTGAACCATTATTTGGGTACCCCTACCATAAAGCATCAACTGAACCAGCAGATCTTCAGGTATGTGCTTGTCTTTTGCAGAACCCTACGAGAACAAATCGTCTTTCTTTCACATCAAACAAATTGGGAGTGTGAGCTGACGAAACTAATATAAAGATGGCACGAAAAAAGCAGCCTTAAAAAAATCTCCAAGGGGTGAGCAGGAAGTCGGTGCTTGCTGAGCTCAGTACGGCTCATTAGGTTGGCTGATGTGACAAACTGTCCTGGGTCTCCTGAAGATGGTTTCATTGAACTTAGAGATCCACTGAAGCTAGTCATTTTGGCATGTGACTTAATCTGCATTTAAAGTTCCTAAGTTGCATCGTTTTACAAAACAAAAAACTTAATCCGTTGCTCGAGTTGAGTCATTATCCTTGAAAATCTGTGTTTGCTGATTTATTTTCAGTTGGCATAAAATCTGTTTCTCTATTGTGAGAACCAGATCAGGTAAACACAAACAAAAACATGCAGCTGATGAGCAGACGTTAACGCTTGAGCAATTTGCATTCACAAATTGAAATAAGACACGATCAAATAAAGAATCAGTTAATAAAATATATTTAAAATTTGTACAAAGATGCAGTTTTAATTTGAGACATTTGGGTTGCACTTTTTTATCTGTTCAAAACTCTTTAATGAACTCCCAATTTACTTTTGAATCCTCTGCTCTCCAGGTCAGCACATGCAAATGTTAAATAATTTAATAAAATCTCCTCAAAGGCCCGTAGGGAATGACAGGTGAACAGAAAAAACAAGGTTGACATGGAGGTCACAGCTCAGCTTCAAACGCTCATGTTCCTGATACCAATGAGCTCTTTCTCTCCCAAACTTCCTGGTCAGGTGGGAACGTTTGCTCGCGGCATCCTTCAGGTTCGCTACCCCATCTGGCCGCGCTACGGCAGCTTCCTGGAGCATGTATCTGATGACCGCCACCTGACTGTGGCCACCCTGGAGGAGCATCCCTTTGTCATGGTGGAGAACGTGGACCCAGGAACCGGCACATGCGTCCGCAACACTGTGCCCTGCAGGCGTCAGTCCAATCATTCAGACAGGTACACAGAAACACAAGCTGCTTCTACTGGCCTGTATCTGTGCATGAACACCTGCATCTCACACAAACATACTGTATGCATTTGTAGTAAAGATTGTTAACATATGTTCATGGATGTGGCTCACAGAGAGTTAGCCCAGTGAATTCAGTTAACGGTTCAAAGATTTCACTTTTCTTCTCCAAATCTGTAAATTTGACTGTGAAAGATCAGTCTTGGTAACATTTCACACCCATTTATAAAGGGACATGTGTGGTTTAGTGATTGGTCTTGTTGCGTTCTGCCCATCGGCCGTATAGATATAGTGGACGTGATGTACCGCCATCTTCGATTGTTGAAAACAGAAAACACAAGATGACGTTTTACAGGCGCGGCCATGTTATATTTTTGGAACTAGAATCTGCTCATCAATGAAGTGGGGCTTTTACTACTGCCTACTGCCCCAAAACACAATTATTGTGGTACGTGATTCTTGTATAGGAATAAAATAACCAGTTACAACTAAACACATTAGAAGAAAGAGTAGTTAAACATTCAACAACAAGATAAAAATGCTCTGTGGTCTACATTTATCTGCAGACCAGAGGTCACTCTTTCAGGGATGAAGATGTGCACATCCTTGATGGAGAGGAACGATGGTTTGAGAGAGGAGTGAAGGAGGCCATGTTTGAGAAGAGAACCTGTCCAACGTTAATCAGGGACGGAGGCCTCCGTGTCCAATTATCACCTTCTTACAATGCTGTTATTGTTAGTATCCCTCAGCCCTCTGTGAATAGCAAGCAGCCATCAGGGCACTAACGATCAGTCATTAGGTGGATGGACCTCCTTTATTATGTTGGTTTGGCTGTCACCAGCAAACTGGTTGATCCGCTGGTGCTACTGGTGCTACTCCCAAGACTGAGTTTGTTGCAGCTTCTCAGACTGAATAATAGTCTGCCATTCTCAATGTTCCAATACATATTGAGCATTATTATTGATATTGTTTATCTTATTTCTTATATATTGTATTGTTTATTAACATTTTAGGAACTTTTGTGTGAAATCTTTTTATATTTTTATCTGTTGTTGCTGATACACTGGAATTTCCCATCCGTGGGACAATAAAAGCTGTTTCTATTCTATTCTATTCTATTCTATTCTATTCTAAGTCTTTTGGATAAAAGAAGAAACGTTTCAACAAAGAAGAATCCGTCCAGAGGAACTGACAACTTTTTTTAGATTTTCTATCTGGATCACTGCGCGTGCATCAAGATAAAATAAAATCTGTGCATCAACAAGAGTAAGCTTAAAATACAAATCTAAGGTGTGCTGTTAATTTTACCAAGGGCAATGTCCCATTTGTTTATATGAAATGCGCAGAACTTTTAACTTTCATCTCCAAAAGAGAAGCTGGTCCCGTTCAGACTTCAACTTCCAGATTCCTGTTGTATGTCGAGATTTCTTCTATAGGGGAGTTAGTCAACTTACATGTTCCTGTCAAATATGTAGAAATAATCTATGGTTGATGCTACTGTCATTAGATTCAACAACCCTTTTGTCTTTCCTGTTCCCTAAAACATAAATTGTCTACTACATATTTAAAAGAGTTTTGTGATGTTGAGCTTTGATAAAGATTTGATTGGTTCTGAATCGTCAGGTTGCTGTAGTTTACTGAATATTGTTTAACATTATAGGGGTCATTAACAAAACTTGATCAAGTGCCAGAATCTTTCTGTGCAGGCAGTGCAAGGGTCAGCCTCTGATTAGCCGTGTTTTGTGGATTATCCTTCCTATTGAGCAAAAATACTGAAGTACCACAAGAGCTCAGTTGCAGGTTTTTCTCTTCTTGTGTGCAGCTAAGTTTTAAGTGAACTGATTATTGCTCTGCCCAGTGTTTGATTTATAAAACATGGTGTGACCGATGGATTGGGCTGCATTTGGCCTGTGAGCCACAACATGATTGTTGATAGTAGATGCATTTTTCAGTTTTTAGTGAGAATTTTATCCAACGTTTTTCCCCATTTCTTGCATCTCCCTAACTGATACTTCAAATTAAAACTAAAATATCCAAACACAAATGCATCAGACAGCTGTGCAAGAAATAAACATTTCCAGCGAATCCCAGTCCTGCAGACATCTGCACCGTCCCGGTTCGTCTGCGCCAGTTCGGTTCATTGCAAACCTCCACAGGTCATTAAACGCTGAATAATTGAGTCTTCTGCAACACTTTCAGAACACGACCCTTCGTTGTGAAACACAGGTCGCAGCACAACAGACATTTAACAGCCATCACCTCCAGCTGCCTACACCTCATCAAGGGCGCACAGTTTCTTTATTATGTTCAAACAATGAGCACAAGTCTGAGCATAAATTCAATATTGCTTCTTCCACATTTTTTCTTCTTAGTTTACAATTTGAAAACAGAATCCCCGACAGAGACGTAGTATATTAAATGTTTCCCATGGAAAAACTGCTCTCGTGAAAAATCTTTCATGTTCAATGTCCCTTCGGCTTTTTTTAGTTTCACAAACACGTACTTGAATACAGGAACATTTTCATACTCAGTGGCAAATTTAGCTACTTTTTGGGAGTGCTCAAGCATTCAAGTCATTGTCAACACTGGGGACTAAGCCCCCCTAAAGGTCAGATTCTAGAATCGCCCCTGTTCGTACTTGATAATAATACAAATGATGAGTCAATGTTTCTTAGCATACACATTCAGAAAACAAAATGTTTTTGTTCAGTGTCATAGTCTAACAGATAGTGAAACTTATAGTCAATAGGACAAAAACAAACAAACAAACAAACAAACAAACAAAACAAACAAACAAAAGCAGCCGAAGCATTATTAATTTTTTTAGAGGCTGTTTTAGAGATAACCTGCTCCAATTTTCAACTCTATATTTGTAGCTTTCGAGATGAGTGTTTTTCTGGACTGGAATTGAACAGGGAATGCAAGTAAACCTTAATGTTTTTGGTACAAGATTATCTGTAGCAAACTAACAGCTAAAAGTTACAAGTAGCAAAATTCTAGCTAAAAATATTAAAAGACTATTAAGCTAAAGGTAGCAAAAGACTAGCTAAAGGTAGCAGGATGTTATTAAAAAATTATAAGTAGCTTAAGAAAACAAAAACAGGACAGATTTATTGAGGCAGATTTGAAAGAGAACAATGTTTTGGAAGGAATTAAACAGATTTTAGTGTATTACTATTTTTACAGGGAAAATGTTAAAGTCAAATATCTTAAAATGAATAAAAGTAAAGCAAAGAAACTAAAAGTCACAACACTCATCTCTTGAATAAGCTGAATATCTTGATATGAACCTACATTTTATTTTAAGATTAGGACCTTTATAGCTTTTGAGTAGTTAGATTTTTCTTCCCCAGCCTGTACGCACATGATATATAAATGTGAAACATTTAATATCCTGGTTGTTTAATTAGTATGAGTTTATTATCACCCGTTGCTAAAAGGCTGATGATGTTTCAGTGTCTGTTTGTGCGTGCCTGTCTGTTATCAAAATATCTCATGAGCCACTGGATAAATTTTAATGAAACTTTCAGACATTAATCAGTGGATGTTCAGCTACACCTTATTGACTGGTGGCGTCAACACAATTCAAGATGGCTGCTACAGCCAGCTGATCCTAAAAAGCCAAAACGTGGCTATAATTTGGTTGGTTTTCATGTGGATTTTCAGCTAACGTCTCATGAGATAGTGCATAATGTTGTACAAAAAAAGTGCTCACAACTCGTTAACAAACATAAGTTAATCCTGTTCAAAAACGTTGGCATGAAAGGTGGCAGGTGACATGCATCCTGTAAGAGAATACTAGGCCTTACATTTGTTCTCTTTTCACTTTTAATGCTAAACAAATTCAAACTGGTCCTGATTCACATCCATTCAGTCTGACATAAAAACTTTAATTACCAGAAAAACACAAAGCCATTCATGCTTTATGACTACAATTGTAGAAAACAAACATTTTGACCATTAAACACTGTGTTGAAGTTCATTCAGTGGACTCAGTGTGTGTCTGTGGGTATGTCCATTATGCAGATTGCAGAGCTAACCATCTCTGGCACATTAATTATAGAAAGAGATATGCACCGGCTGTTCTTGGGTGAAATGGCACATTGATTGCCACTAAAGAAGATTTATCTGTCCAACACTGGGACATCTGTCAAAGCGTGGGACAATGTAGCCTCTTTTTGATACTCTTTCACGATATCTCTCTTGCCGGCATGTCCTATTTGGCCGGCAACCAACAAACAGGAAGCAGGAGAGAGCGGACTGCTGCTATATAAATCACATAATCTTGCTGTTGGGGGTTCTGAGACGCTTCACCGTAGAGCAGCAGATGTTTAGCGTGATTAAAACTTTTTTGTCTCGCTCATTAAAACCTCTTCTTTCGGACAGATGAGAGTTTCTGTGGCCTGAGGGCTGAGCCCACCTCTCCACATTGATTAATAGCATGAATTCCAGCCCAAAATTCAACTTCTTCGCCATCTGATGCATTCCAGTGCAGTGCAAGGTGCAGCGACCAGATGCTAATTTAAAGTGGGTTTTGACTGGATGATTACCAGAAAATTAATTTCCAAAATTGATGGTAATGATTGGAGTGTAAGCGTTTTGCATTAAAATTAACAAATTATCAGTAGTTTGTGTTTACATTTGTAGCTATGTCAATTTAGTTGTGCAATGTTCACCCACTGAAAAAACATTTGACTTGCTTTTACAAAAATCAGTCCTCATTCACGGTCTTATTATTGTTTGACCTTCCTAATGCTATTGGGAACAACTGGGAACAAATCCCTGCAGGAAGCTGCAAAAAAAAAAAAATCTGGTGAAAAGCCTGAAATCAGACTCCTTGAGCTGAGATCATGGAGTCTGATTTACTACTGGGTTTGTGCAGACTGTCTGTGCTTCTTAAGTTTTTAAAGAAGACATCTCAGAGCATTTTATTTACAGAGAAATATTTGGTCTTATCTCCCCCACACACGCCAATTGCTCCATTCATAAA